AAGGTTCTGGCGCGTTAAATCTATAAAACTACTCTGTGTAAAAAGGACCTCACAATGAGTAAAACATTAAGCATGAAAAACACTGTTTCTGATGGCGGAGTTTCAGATCGCTGATGCAAAATGGAAAGTAAAAGATGATAAATTCTACATACCAATTTCACAGCAGTTATCAGTCATTTTTCAGTCAATTTAATAGATGTTATCAGGCCTTAAACACACCTAAAGCAATCCCGACAACACCCACAGGAAATAAGAAGATGACACTAAGACAGTGAAAGCTTGCACAAGCCTGCTCGGTATAATAGAGTCCGTTACCTCATACGAACTCAGAACTATCATCCACAATGCTGCATCTATAATACATTTCAATTCTTTATCCGGAAAACTGTCTCTACACACCACTAATGCTGTCTTTATAAAGTACGACTGCTGACTTCTTTTCCGGCCGGGCTAAATCTCAGTCTCAGTCTCATTCATGTTTAATTGGGTTTCTAGCATAAACAGCCCACTCCGCAGACGTCTCCCCACGTCTGTGTCACACTGAACCTCCACGAGATGACATTCTGCTCAACTTGCTCGAGATGCCTTATGAATCATTCATGAGAGCGGTCCATACGCAAGGTCTAGTGTGCCAGCCTCTTTCTGAATTAACTCTGTCTTTGTCTAATTTAAATAACATGCACTCAGCTCACGTCCCAAGACTCAAATAACAGTGATTTAAAATATTCAGTACTATTTACTTTTATTCGTATTCGGTATTCAGGCCAGGCCAGCCGCCACTGAACGGTGTCAAAACCTGAACGATCTCATTGACCTTCTATTAGTAGCTAATAGTGTAAAACACATGGAGCCTTTGCTGTTATTCAGTGCCAGCATAAGAAACATTGTATGAATGGGTTGTGTGGGGATAACTGGAGAGATCAAACGTGACATGAGAAATGTATAAAAAGTTGTGCAGCAGGGCTGAATGAACCTTTTGTGAGGTATTGAATGAAGATCTATCAGTGTCAGACAGATTAAGGCTCAATCCCATTCCTTATTTTTACCCCTACCCCTTGTTTTCGAGTGTCTCCTTGCCCCTTGGAACTGAGTTACAGGGTGGTTGTTGAAATCTTCCCTATGAAATGGGACCCTCAAATAAAAAGAGCATTACTTCATTAACAGCTACTAGCGCTGCTCTGTAGGCGACCCTGCCAGTCTGCAGTGACAGCAGAGGAGGGTAAAATAAGCAACCTCACTGCTGGGCTTTTAGGGAATCATACACCTTCAAAGAGGGGGGCAATTATTTATTCACCCACCCCTAATTCTTCAGTGATATGAAGCTGAAATCAGATATTCGGCAGAATGTAACTGCTGTACCATTTAAGGTGGAACGAGAAATTTACGAGAAAACTGCAACGCCACCAGAGGTGAACACCGTGGTGCGCCAGCTGCACCGCTAGACGCTAGCTGGTGTTAGGTGACGAGGCCTAAGCGCTACACTCAACCACACAGGGTACTTCTGGCTCATTGAAAGGCCACTGATGCAAATTTAGATCCTAAAGACTCAAATCTGACCCTCCATTCTTGTGTGTAGGGCTGTTAGGGGCAGAGTTTGCAATTTGCATAACTATGCATATTCATAGATCTTCACATTCTTAATGAGGATCAAGGTTTTAGAGATGTTCGTTTGGCATTTTAACCTTTTAGCTTGAAAACTGCGAGTTTTTGAAGAGTTAGTTAGCTGATGTCAGACATGATGAATTCTCTAAATGATCTTGGTCATCCGTACTTTTCTGCGACACTTCCTAAGTGGTTTAGTTGCTTGTAGGAATATTAAAATATTCGTACCAAAATAAGCAGCCAGTATGGCCCGTCTGTTTTCCTTTATACCCTTTTGCAACACCGACTACACAGTCATTTGTTTTATCTTGAGTACAGACTATGCCCTTAATCTACTCTCATGTTAGTTTGATGAATGACTGTGGAGGAAACTCAAGGAAACTTCTGAGAAAGTTCTGGGTAGCTTGTTTTACACTAGAAGACCAAACACTCTCCTGAAGTTTTGTGGTACAATGAGAAAGTTGTGTAAAAGAGACAGGCATGTGGAGGAGCGTGAAAACTTTGTCACAGAAAACAGAAAGATTACATGAAAATATGCAGCAGGTCAGTTAGGATGGAGGAGTAATTTTAGGTACAGTCCATCTGCCAGACTTAGTTATTTCATAATCTGCTGAGCCATGTTGTCTAAAATGGCCTCATAGTCAATTCAATATATCTCAAATGTCACCTGAATTATATGTCAAAGAGCAATTTCTTCTCCAGTCACCCCTTCTCAACCCTGAGATGTGGATACACAGAATAAAAGTTGACACATCCACTCTGGACAGGTGTGATAACCTCCCAGTTAGGCCTGACCACCAGGAATGCCTTTATGAAGGTTGCCATCTCCAAGAAACTCCCAAAAATGAAAACTGTGCTGTACTCCGTGAATAAAATGCATAACGCAAAACCAACAAGTAGCCAATCAAGACCAGGTAAAACGTCCAGACTGTTTGCTTAGCTTGCTAAGCATATAGTTGAGCTGACAGCAGTGGCCCTTAAAATACAGACATATCAGCAGAGACATTTTGGGGAGTCTCTCACTTGCGCTTAGGCTCTTTTTACATACTTATGCTATTCTGATTCTGTTTCCAATTACTGAATTCAAATAGCTGAAGGCCACACATTCGTACGGTACTATTAGGTAAAGCTCCCACCATTTATCTCCCAAACAAACACTTTTTTATGTCTCAGATATCAAAAAAAGCCTTTTTTGCTATCTTCTTTACTTGTCGTCGTTAGGGCTGGGTATCAAATTTCAATACTCTTACAAAACTGACCGACTTACTTCAATACTACAGAGTATCTAAAAATTCTGTAATTGAAAATCAATTTTAATATCCAAGTAGTCTGTCTGATCATCAGTGAGCCAATAAGTATGCTTATATTCTGAAACTGTGGGTGTGGCTTAAGCATCAGATGCTAGAAGTGTGTATATTCCGAGTCCAAGTCAGTAAGTATGCGTCTGAGTCGTGAGTCAGTTAAGTGCATTTCTATGTCGAGAGTCAGATAAGCACATGTCCGACTTAAGTCATAAGTCAGTTCAGTGCGTATCTGAGTCAAGTTGCAAGTTAGTTACGCCTGTGTCCATGTCTAGTCCCAGGTCAGTTAGCATGGGTCCGAGTCAAAAGTCAGTACGCGCATGTCCAAGCAGCAAGTCAATAAACGTGCGTCCGAGTTTAGGCTCAAGTCAGTTAAGCACATGACATAGTCAAGTTGTAAGGCAGTTAGGCATGTGTCTGCTTTGAGCTGCGAGTCAGTTAAGCATGAATCTGAGTCGCAAGTCAGTAAGCAAGTTGAGCCATGAGTCAGTTAAGTGTGCACCCAAGTCGAGTTGAGAGTCAGTTAAGCATGCATTTAAATCGCAAGTTAATTAATTCTGAGTCCAACTCTAGTCGCAGGTCAGTTAAGCATGTGTCTAAGTTGAGTCGCGAGTCAGTTAAGCATGCATCTGATTTGAGTCGCAAGTTAGTTAAGTGTGAGTCCAACTCTAGTCGCAGGTCAGTTGTGTCCAAGTCGAGTCGCGAGTCAGTTAAGCACATGCAAGTTGAGTCAAAAGTCAGTTAAACATGCATCTGAGTTGCAAGTCTATTAAGTGTGCATCCGTTTCAAGAGTCAGTTTAGCGTTCAGGTCACATGTTGACGAGTCATGAGTCAGGTCAACATGCGACCCCAGTCCCACCTCTACTTGGAACACTGAGTAGTGATGGATTTGGTAGGTCGAGGGAAGGTGGGGGAGGTCCCAGAACAAAGTGAAACAGTGAGTCAGACTCTCAGCTGTGACGTTTCCCCATAGCGGGAATCTTAGTACCAACAACCAAGTTAACAAAGTTCTTAAGCACTGAACATTCTCTCATACGTGGGTTTCCCACAACAAAACAAACAGAGCTGAATGCATGAGCTGTTGATAAATTATTTAATAAATTAATGTCATTAGCCAGTAGTGTAGTCGTTACTGAGCTCTTTTGAGAGATGAATAGAGCAGTAGTGGCGCATTTGGGCGCTCAAACAGGAGTCTGAGTGCTACTTTTCCCACATATCGACTTGTTTGTAGAAAAAAGCATTATAATATTACATTATCTTCACTGATAGTCGCATAAATGTTTTTATGGAGTTTTAAACACGGTGTCCACTCACTGTCCACTCTATTAGACACTCCTACCTTGTCAGCCCACCTTGTAGATGTAAAGTCAGAGATGATAGCTCATCTGCTGCTGCACGGTTTGTGTTGGTCATCCTCTAGTCCTTCATCAGTGGTCACAGGACGCTGCCCACAGGACGCTGTTGGCTGGATATTTTTGGTTGGTGGACTATTCTCAGTCCAGCAGTGACACTGAGGTGTTAAACTCCAGGAGCACTGCTGTGTCTGATCCACTCAGGCCAGCACAACACACACTAACACACCACCACCATGTCAGTGTTACTGCAGTGCTGAGAATGATCCACCACCCAAATAGTACCTGCTCTGTGAGGGTCCATGGGGGTCCTGACCCCTGAAGAACAGGGTAAAAGGGGGCTAACAAAGTAACCTATATAGTTACTATATAGTTAGCACCTATATAGTAAGTGGAGCTGATAAAATGGACAATGAGTGTAGAAACAAGGAGGTGGTCATAATCTTATGCCTGATTGGTGTATATAAAAAATAATATGTGCCAGATCCACTGAAAAAGGCTTATTCTGGGAGGTGATGGATCCAGATCTGGCTTCTTCCAGCACAAATGAAGGCCTGGGTATTGGTATGAGTCTTAAAACATTCTGAGCCGTACCCAGCTCTAGATGTCCTGCCCTGTTATACGGCTACTGCTGACTCTGTGGAGGGTTTTTCGTAGAAAAGATGTGACCAGAAAGGTTCCATTAAAGTGGCCATCAGCCACGAGTGGATTCAGGAAAGAGGTCAATTAAAAGGATTTACTTACTGCAGGTGGACTCTGCCTCGTCGGATCCGTCCGGACACTCGGGCTCTCCGTCGCAGCGCCAGCGGCCAGGCACACACTGCCCGTTCTGACAAGCGAATTCTGATGGCGCACACGTCTTCCTCACTAGAGAAGGAGACAGTTTCAGGTTTTAGTATTATGATGAAAGCTGTGATGGTAGGTATCTGAATAGAGGATAAACAGTTCAAAATGCATAATTTCTATATATACTACAAACATATGATTTATGATGACTCCAAAACACAATTCCTATACGCTGTATGACAAGAAATGAATGAAAACTATAGACTCGTCTTTATGAATATCTGTATCAACACGATTTCATGCTTGTGGTATCAGATATCATGGCCATACCACTCACTACTGACTCGTCCTGGAGTTTCAATCAGGCATGACATTTTGGTTTGAACTCGAATACAGCCTGAGAATTTTCTGTACACACCCTCATGTTTTGAGTAAGAAACTGACTCGAGTCCAACAAATTTCTGTCCAAAGTCAAGCTGTAGTTTGTACACCATGTAGGGCGTGGCTAGCATCATGCCCTTTAGCATTGCTTCATTCCCCAAAAGGTACAACTCTGCTTCAGTCAGAAACCAGCTCAAACTCAGAGTAATCCCTAAACTGGACCATAGTTATGCGGTTAATTGTATTCCTTTCATTTTAGTTGTTTCAAGTTTTTTAGTTTTAGTTATTTCCTTTGTATTGCAGACCTCGCCAATGACTGACCACATGCAGATGTCTACCTTGACTATTGATTGTAAATGTTTCCTGACTTTCAGCAGAACGTCTACTGTCCTGACTAAATCCTTAACAAATGGACATACACAATATAAAAGCCTGTATAAAAGCCAGTATGTCATTAGATGGACCCACTGACCAGACTGACCAGACCACCAGACTGATTTAGATGCCTATGTGCGCACAATAAACATCATTCTGCATCTCGGTCTCCTGATTCGATCCTCGGCAAAAAAAAAAGATTTACAACAGTTTTGTTTGCTAAAGTCTGCTGTTTTAGCGACACTGAATTAGCACAGCAGTAGACTGTGCTTGGCTAAGCTGCAAGATTTCCTTAAAGAAAGCTAAAAACAATATCGATGATCCACTCATAAACTATTCTTCAGGCACTGAAAATACAGAACGTTCTTTTTCAGTAATTCTATTTAGTTTTTCATTGATTTTATAGTCTTAATCAACTTGTTCTTGTTTTCATTTGATGACAGTTAACAAGTACATTTTGTCACTGTTAGGTTTCATTTTCATAATAGTTTTCACAATATTTAGTCACAGATTCATGCCTGCATGCTAGAAACATGTACTGCACAGCTGAATTGATAAAAATAATGATTTTTGCCTTTGCAATCAAGAACTGAAGACTACAATTAATGCCTTCCATTTAGCAGCGTGAGTGCAGCTTCAGAACGAGCCATTTCTATGACTTCTTGGATAATGAGTGTTGTAATGAGCCACAGAAAGTTCAGTTAAGTGCCGAGAGTGTTTAAATTACAGGTGTTCCAACAGCGGCGAAGAGTCCACAAATCACAAGCAGCCGAGCTCATAAATGACCAAAACCAAATAAATGCAACCATTATTTCTGTGACCATCATGGAGCTCTGACCTAAAGCAGCTGCTTAACATGAAATTCTTACAGCGTATTCAAAATGGCATCATTGTAGTGCAACATTGCATTAATAGGTCTGAACATGAGCTGAAAGGTAACTACATTATCGTCATCATTCAGAATGGCCTCAATTGGACTAGTTTATTCTGATCGAGGTGTATATGTGGACGCATGGGCAACATTTGGGAGGTGGCAAGGGGGGCATCTGCCCCTGCTAAAATGTTCGTGAACTCACTTTAATCATGGAATATTGACATTTGTCAAAACTATTTACTGTGTAAAGAGACTGATCTCTGCAACACTAGGGGGCAACCAGTATTCTGATATGATGACTTTTCATGCAATGCAATGTACTATCAAAAGAACTGGGGTCACCAAGTTTAAATTATGCCGCGGTCAAGAGCCTCGCTGGTAGCACAGTCTCTACTCTGCTAGCAATGCGACTTTCAAAACTCTAGAAGCACATGGTTGACCTGTGTGCTCAAAACAACTACCAAGCCCCACAGCATCCACAGAGGAGGTCCGGCAAAGTGACAGTGACTGGATTAGATGCCGACTCTGCTATGGGTCACTACAAGGAACTGTATTTTGATGTGCTGGACAGAACCGTTCAAGAAATCCATGATCGGTTTCAGGAAAATAACGTGGAAAGCCAAATGCACTGAACTACATTCCCAGCTCTAGAACACACACTGAAGTGCACCTGGCGTCTGGTTGTCGTCTCTACAGATTCCCCAAAGAGGTGAAGAGTGCAGAGCTGACCCTCTTCAACGCTATATCATTTAAAGAAATCAGCTTCGATCAATGATTAGCACTTTTTGAAGCGTCAGATCTGTGCGGTAGCCTAGTAAACGTTGGTAACCTCTTCAAGTTGCTCCTGACCGTGCCAGTGAGCAGCGCATCACACGAAAAGAACTTTTCTTGCTTGCGTCGACTGAAAACTTCTATGAGAAAAACTTTGAGTTATGAGAGGCTGTCTGACACTGCAGTGATGAATACTGAACAGGTCATTCACGTGGACTTGGAAAAAACAGTTAGTGCATTTGATGCTGTGTCCGGTGGGCCCCCCGTCTTGCACTTCACTAAGGTAGGACATTGTTTATACTTTGATAAATACAGGTTATTTGCTAAATATAGGTTTTATACTTACCACATAGTTGATGGAGATGGGCTGCCCCCATGACATAGTCTCAAATGTTGCCCATGCATGGACGTAATCTATTCTGACTGAGCTATTAGATGGATTATTGATGGAATATCAGGTTGCATGGAAACGTGGCTATTCTTGTTCTTCCATTAAAACGTAGGTACTTCCAATGCTGCATTCACGTGTTGCGGTTTTTACTATGGAACTGCAGTTTAAACCAATTTGGTAAAATGGTCCATATTTTTCAGTGTTATAATGTTAGATGTGTGTTCTGTGGACATTTCTACTGTAATCTAGAGAAAGAAAAATTATATAAACACAATCTGAAAACTGTATAAGCTCAAGCAAACAAGGTCTGTAATATTAGAGTAAAAAAGTTCACTTTTCTCACCTGCTGCATTCTCAGTGTAAGTGTACAACACCGGAGTGGGCAGCTATCACAAAATCTTACATAACTCCCCCGAGGCCTGTCAGCTAATGTGAAGGATGCTGTAACCAGTGCTGCCCTGCTTCGTGATTTTAGCCCGCAGCTTTATGTGGATGGATGGTCTCTATTTTCCCCGGCCAACCGACAGAGACGTGCAATCTGAAGGAATCGCCCCCTCTCCCTGGCATCATTCGGCAGGTTCAGCTTCGACTGAGATTGTGTTTCCAGCAGAAATATTAAATCAGCGACTCATCTATCGGCTCCCTTCGCTGCGGTAAACATCCTTTTTTTCAGCGAGCGAGCCGGCCTCTCTTTGGACCGTAATCGTATCAGACGCCCTGCAGAAATTCCCCTTCCCTCCTCTCCGAAATCGCAGGCCCAGAGTTGTTTATCACAAGTGCTGGGAAACAATGTAACAGGAGCTGATCTGAGTTTAATAAGGAGAAATGCGGAGTGATGTATCTGACATCGTCCATTATTGAGTGTATGCAGCGCCTGCGGTGAAGCGATGTTTCAGATTAAGGAAAGGAGACTGCGGAACTTTGTTCTACAGAAGAGCACTTTAGGGTTCATGTTCAATTGCCCTGAATTCAATCTTCTTTACATAACGCTTTTTACAACTGACACTGTGCCAAAGCGGCTTTCCAGAAATCTAATGAGGGCTGAGGACACCAGTGGCAAAAAACGCTGTGAGCATGAGGGAAAACCCCCGAGAGGACCTAAGACTCAAAAGGAAAAACTCCCTAAAAGTACAAGGAAAAACTGAGAGGAACCAAGACTCAAAAGGAAAACTTCCTAAGAGAATGAGGATACACTGAGAGGAACCAAGACTCTAAAGGAAAAATGTCTAAGAGGATGAGGAAATACTGAAGGAACTCTCCCTCACAGAGAACCAAGACTCTAAAGGAAAACTGTCTAAGAGGATGAGGAAATACTGAAGGAACTAAGACTTAGCAACTGAGACACAAAAGGAAAAAAAAAAGCATGAGGAAATACTGAGAGGTACCACGACTCAAAAAAGGAAACCTCCTTAGAAGCATGAGAAAATACTGAGAGGAACCACGAAAACTTCCAAAGAGGATGAGGAAATACTGAGAGGAACCAAGACTCAAAAGGAAAACCTCCTTAGAAGCATGAGGAAATACCGAGAGGAACCAAAACTCAACAGGAAAACATCATCAGTGCATGAGGAAATACTGAGAAGAACCAAGACTCAGATGTAAAAACACATTATGAGCTTAAAGAAGAAACTAAGAAACTTGAGAGGAGCCAAGACTCAAAAGGAAAAGCTCACTAAGAGCACGAAGAAAACACTGAGAAGAACCAAGTCTCAAAAGGAGAAAGTCACTATGAGCATAAGGATGAAACACTGAAAGGAACCATGACTCGAAAAGAGAATGCCATCCTCCTCTGGGCTGTACCAGACAGCGCAGTTAGGGTACAAATCAGACAAATTTACAGGGATGATTAAACAGAGGAACCTGACATCAGAGAAAAGAGAGAAAAGATCTGGGAGGTACACCAGGGACCGAAGTTAAAAGTTAGTCAGAAAAGTGTGGGAAAAAGAAAGGCCAACAGTGTAAGATGTTGGATCTTGTGACTCAGTACAGGAGCTGTGCTTCGCCCAACGATGATTAATCTCACCAACACGTGCCATCTGTCTGGGAGGCATGGCCTGTTGTTTTAATTAGGACTGAATTAAACATGTGCGGAGATAGGGGGCGAGCGCAGGGTAGGACTCTCGCTCCAACAGCGCAGATGGAGGGGCAGGAGAAGTTAGAAGTCAAAGAGAAAGAGAGAGCTAAAGAGCTCAGAAGGTCAATGTCAATAAGCCCCTTGAGAAACATACCAACAGGTTCAATAGACCCACTCAGTTTAGCAGTGATCTGAGAAAACAAATACACTTAAGC